TCCTTCTTCTGATTAACCACTGTATCATTGGTTGATTGCCAGTGGTGCTGAGCATCCTGCTGTAATGAGGCCAGGTCTGTGAGGCCAGGGGATGTGCTCGCATAAATACAGACATTCAGGTCCAACAAATCCTCCCCCTGTTTTTCTCACTATTATATAGTTGTCAAAATTGTTTAAACAAAGGAAAATAAATAACTCCACAGGTAGGGATGTTTACAGTGTAAGTGGCATCAAGCCAGCACAGACCTGAGCAAAATATTTATATCAGCGCATCCAGCCATAACTTTGGGCACAAATCAGATGTATCAACAGTTAAAGGAACACAGCTTGATGCATGCACATGCTTTGTTGATGCACTTTAAGAAAGATGTGATTTAAGATCATGTCAGAGTTAATTTTAGTCCCTGCTGTAAACAAAAGCGTACTTCCTCCAGGTCTGCCTGTGGTCAAGGCCTGAGAACGATGATATAACGAAACAAACATGTTGGCATGTCTGCTCAGTCTGACCTGGGGTTGAGTTGGCAGTGGCAGGCACAGCTATGCACCTCTCCATTGCTAAATAAAGATGCACTTTATGGATACACTCAGATAACATAAATCAGGATATCCCAACAGGAGTGACGACGTGCACTATTGTTTTGGTTCAAGTGGACAGCCAGCCTGACAGACAGTATGTACCAGACATGGGAGAGGACAGGAGGTTCTCTCTATTCGGTCTCGCTCTGATGGGTCATGTCAGAACAGAACGTTTGTACTGTATGTAGTTGCACAACATGTTGGCTGTCGGGGCCACACCTTGACCAAAACCTAGACTAAATAAATAAGGCAAGAGTTTAGTGGTACATAAATATAGACACATGCCAATAACCATACATGTTCGTTGTCTCTACAGTGAAGTAAAAGAGTTTAACCAGCACTGGTCTGTGATGGACAGTGACAAATGTTATTTCCTTATTCTGTTCAAAATGATGGTGTTGATAAGTTAAGTTGTAGTTCTGAACCTCATGGTTCAAAATATAGGACTCCAGGAAGTCACCAGGTCAGACTAGGTACCACTGTAAAACCACAGCTTTTGATTTTTACATTTCTGTTTGTATAAAAATTGAATAAATATGATGCAATGTGTTATTTGTAACGTTATGAGGTACTGCTAGTAGGATTTTTTTTCATCTTTGAACTGAGTGAGGAGGTTATTTCCCCCCAGTCTCCAGTCTTCCATCTCCTGACCGTAGCGTCATGTGTACTCTAACAGGTAAATGCGAGTGTGGCATCAATCCTCTCATTTAATTCTGCAACAAAGATCATTTCCCAGAGTTCCACTCTGTTCCTTCAAAAAGAAAACGAGGAGTTTTGTATGCTGTTGTTTGTTGCCCATTAACCACAAATTGCTTCAGAAGCATTTCACAGTGAGTTATTTTTCTCTAAGTTCCAAGGTTTCTAGATTTTCTTCTCTTCCAAGGCACAGCTGGATTCCATTCACATCACTATGCAACCACTTACAGAGCATCACTGCAAATTTGTTTCTGACAGCTGTGAATTTGTTAGTTTTTCAAGCAGTCAAACCCAGGGTCACCTGATCCAGCCCTAACTATAAGCTTTATCAAAAAGGAACGTCTTAAGTCTAATCTTAAAGGTAGAGAGGGTGTCCGCCTCCCGAACTGAGACTGGGAGTTGGTTCCATAGGAGAGGAGCTTGATAGCTAAAGGCTCTGCCTCCCAATCTGCTTCTGTGGACTCTAGGAACCACAAGTAAACCTGCCCTCTGAGAGCAAAGTGCTCTGTTAGGATGATAAGGCTCTACGAGGTCTTTAAGATACGATGGAGCCTTGTCATTAAGGGCTTTGTATGTTAGGAGAAGGATTTTAAATTCTATTCTGAATTTTACAGGGAGCCAGTGGAGAGAAGCTAATATGGGAGAGACAGAGTAACTTTATGGTTAGATATCATATTTTTAAGAAATATACTGTTACATTAGATAGTCAAATTCCTCACACAAGCAAAAGTAATTAATTCTTTATTGTCACAGTCATACCTTGAAACATACATCCACCAGAAGCAGCATGAACCAAGCTGATCCAGGTTTTATTACAGTATATACTGGCATGCTCCCACCTTTGTGACAGTTGATATACAATTTAAAGAGGTCAGTATCAGCTGAAGGATTTATAGACAAGAGATAAATTCAGTAGAGCCTCATCTAGACTAAACAAGGCCTTGTGGTCAAAACTGACCTGAAAGAATTGTTTATCTTAGACCCAACACAATCCCTTAATTGAATACTTTTAGATATGCATACCACTGCACAAGAAGCAAACAAACAGAGAAGAGTGGAACTATGAAAAGTGCATGACAGTGTGAACAAAGACAGGGCACGGCGTGCTTCCAAAAGCAAACACTGAGTACAGCCAGATGGATTTTCCATTGCAGAGTTGTGTTAATGAGAGGAAGCAGGGGAGTGCTTCCCAGGGATTTCATTGTGATATTGTGACCGTTGCACCTTCAACAGCTTGATCGAGGAAAACCTCCGAGAGTTTGGCCCTCATTTTTACCTGCCCTCTTCAGTCTGAGATGGTAATCCCCACCTGGGATGCCTGGAAAACAACCATCCAGCATCCGCTATATGAGAGGATGTCTGATAATGTTCGTGTATATACTGTATGTATGGATATATATAGATAGATAGATACATACATACATACATACATACATATATATGACTGAGAAGCCACAATGCCAAACTTAACATGTAAGTAGGTGATGTCAGGTAGCCTTAATGTTCTTCCTGTTCTGTCCCACAGATTCGTGGAACTTATTAAAAATAAAAACAAGTGCACAATGCAGTCATAGGTCACAGACATATTGTTGGTAACAAGTAAACAGCTTGAAGAAATATTGAAGAATGTTTGACATTGTTTTCTTTTTTCCTTGTTGTGCACACTGGTCATATTTAGCCATAAATAATACACATCGAATAACGGGAAAGTGCCAAACATGTGGCACTACAGATGGACAGTCAAAAACTGTTAACTTGTGAATGCAACAAAACAAAGTGCAACGACAACAGTTTTAATCTTGCGGTGTGACACATTCCAAGAAAACAAAACACCAGTAAAAAGCAGATCTGTTTTCTTACAAACAGGATTGCAATATAAATATTCCAATTTCTGTCATTAATATGCACATCTAATGTGCAAATCCGAAATGGTAGTGAGACTGATGCAGCTTGCAATACATTTGAAAGCACCTGTTCCACAAATATCACAAACTCTAATAGACTGATCCAGTTTTGTTTCATGTGTTTATTTATTTTGTAATGATTTATTATTGTGTCCTTCTTTGCAGTGCTGACCACATATTCTTCATTACATATTGTACATTTGTATGGGCTGAGTGTGCAGTGACTGGTTCATACACTGGTATGGTCTACTGTAATTTGTTGTTTATTTTCATCAACAATATTATTAGGACAAGCCCTCTAACCATAACACATGCTGGCAGGATGTAAATGTCAAATATAAGTTTAAGTGAAAAATCCAAAGGATAACAGACAATACAGTGTGTAATCAATGCCGTTGGGATGTGACAATAAAGGTTTGATTGATTGGTTGATGGTTTATTGTTACTGTACTTCACTTGTTTGTTTACACTACAGAACGATGTAGTCTCTGTGAAGATTTTGACATTAGAAGTCTGTTTTCATATTCATCAGCTGAAGAAAGACTGTTTCGCTGTGCTCATCTACACTAAATCTCAAGTTTAACATACAGCATCAGCAGCATTTATGATGTCACCACAGAAGCCAACTGTGGTCCAGTGCATGAAACTTAGGTGATGTGGAAACTTGAAACTCCTTGTGGACATACACTGAGCATGGGCTTCCTGTAGGAGACCAGTTAGTGGCAGTTTAATGACTGAAATGATCAGTATATGCATATTCATAAATTCTGGATTCTTTAATGAGGGAGAACAAATACTTTAGATGTAAGTTTAAGAAAGTCTAACTATACAGTAAACACTATATGGACAACAGGGTCAGAACTTTATATTTCCTCTAATGAACACTTGGATTTTTAAACTAATATTACCAAATATTTAAGATACAGTAGATGTTGGTGCAAAATATGAACTAAATTTAAAATCAAAGCTTGTTGGATCACCAAGATTAGCCAAGGTCCATCACATTATGTGGGAGGCTGGTCAGGTGTTTGGGCATCACAGTGGTGCTTAAACACCTGACTTTATGATTTTCAGATACAGTATGCAACAGTGTGCTCAGTCATTATCTGTGAATTCTCACCAAAAAACCTTATTTTAGCATTTGAAAACAATCATTTGGTCATTCACATTCAGCCAAAGACTTGGAGAGGTCAGTGTGCAGAGTGTCCCCTGCTGAGGCTACCTGACTTTGTTTTGAGGAGCACACATGCAGCTCAGACACTAAAAAGCTCTGTAGCTGTTGCACATTCACTTGGAGCAGCAGAGGGGAAGTTCCCTTCTGGTGCATAACATAAACTTGGCTCCAATGAAAGCATCCGTTGGCACCTCGATGGACAACAGGAAGTCTTTGTTTATCAAAAAATATCCCGTTGTTAGCCTCAGGGTGTATGACCCCTCCTTTGCAACAGCAGAGCATTCCATAGTAGCCATGGTGGAGCCCCAGATTTAAAGATCTCTGTTTACTGAACAAAGCTGCTATATCCTTAGAACAACACAGGCATAAAGTATGTGTGTATGTGTTAGCAGCACCGGGTTTGTGTCAGATCTACAAGCCCATGCCTGTATGTCACAGTGTTGGTATGTGCTGTTTAGCAAACAAACCTAGTGACTGAAAAGCCCATGTTCAGGGACCACACCACCTAAAGTTCAGTAGAGTCAGACAGTAGTACTAGAGAGAATCCAGTAACAGCAAGAGTTCACAAATACAGTTAATACCCACAATGACAGAGCTGCTG